GGACATTTTCAAAGACAGACCACATGTTAGGACACAAATTAAGTCTTTACAAGTTCAAGAAGACTAAAAGCATATCAACTATCTTCTCAGATCACAATGGCATAAAACTAGAAATCAATTACGTACTATATAAACACTCTAAAAATCATTCAAACACACAGAGGCTAAAAAGCACATTATTAAACACTGAATGGATCACCAATGAGATCAAGAAAGAAATTTTTAAAACTTCCTGGAAACAAACGAAAATGAACACAAAACAAAACAAAATCTTTGGGACACAGTGAAAGCAGTCCAGAGAGGAAAGTTCATAGCACTACAGGACTACCTCAAGAAACAAGAATATTTTCTAATAAACTTTCTAATCCTATATCCTAAAGAATTAGAAACAAGAAAAGCCCAAAGTAAAAGGAAACAAATAATAAAGATCAGAGAGGAAATAAATAACATAGAAACTAAAAAAATAAAATATAATAAAAAGATCAATGAAACCAAGAGCTGGTTCTTTGAAAAGATAACAAAGATTCATGAACCTCTAGTCAGACATACCAACAAACAAAGAGAAAGGACCCAAAGAAATAAAATGAGAAATGAAATAGAGGAAGTAACAACTGATGACACAGAAATACAAAGGATTGTAAGAAAATACTAAGAACAACTATTTGCCAACATTTTAGACAACCTAGGCAAAATGGACAGATTCCTAGAATCATATAATCCTCCAAAACTCAACCAGGAGTAGTTTAGAAAACCTACACAGACCAATAACAACAAATGAAATTGAAGCAGTAATCAATAAACTCCCAGCAAACAAAAACCTTGGTCCAGACAGCTTCACAGGGGAGTTTTACCAAACATGCAAAGAAGAACTAACACCTCTTCTCCTAAAACCATTCCAAAAAATTCAAGAGGAAGGAAGACTTCCAAGCTCTTTTAATGAGGCCAGCATAATCCTAATTCCAAAACCAGATAAAGACACCACAAGGACAGAGAATTACAAGCCAAAATCCCTGAAAAACATAGACAACAAAATATTAGCAAATCAGATTCAGCAGTATTTTAAAAATTATTCACCATGACCAAATGGGATTATCACAGGGATGCCTGCCTGGTACAATATTCACAAATCAATAAATTTGATACACCATATAAACAAAAAGATAAAAGTCATATAATCAAATCAACAGATACAAAAAAAAAAAAAAAAGCATTAAAAAAAACCTAGCACACATTTTGGATAAAAACTTTCAGCGAAGTGGAAATAGAGAAATCATGCTTCAACATTATAAAGGCCATATATAACCAATCTACAGCCAACATAATACCAATGAGCAAAAACTAAAAGCATTTCCCTTATTTCACCACTGTTATTCAACATAGTACTGGAAGTCTTAGCCAAAGCAATCAGACAAGAAGAAAAAATAAAAAGCATCCAAATAGGAAAGCAGAAAGTAAAACTGTCATTATTTGCTAATGACATGATATTGTATACAGAAAACCCTAAAGACTCCACCAAAAACTACTGGATTTAATAAATGAATAGAGCAATGTAACAGGATACAAAATTAACATCCAGAAATTGATGGCATTATTATATATCAGTAATGAACACTCAGAAAGAGAAATTAAAAAAACAATCCCATTTACCACTGCAACGTAAAAATTAAGATACGTGGGAATAAACTTAACCACGGAGGTAAAAGAACTGTTCTCAGAAAACTACAAGATATTGAAAAAATAAATAGAGGAAGATATAACAAAGTAGAAGCATATACCATGTTCATAGATTGGAATAATCAACATCATTAAAATGTCAACACTACCCAAAGCAATCTATAGATTTAATTCAATAACAATTAAAATACTAATGGCACATTTCATAAATCTAAAACAAACACTCCAAAAAGTTGTATGGAACAAAAAAACACTCAGAATAGTCACAACGTTCTTGAGAAAGTGGAACAAAGTAGGAGGGATCATAATATCAGAATAGTAAGCAGCTATAAAACAGAAAGATATCTTACCCTTTGAGACAACATGGAGGAACCTGGACAGTATTATGCTAAGTGAAATAAGGCTTTCATTATTTGCTAATGACATGATATTGTACACAGAAAACCCTAAAGACTTGAAAGACAAGTATCACATGATCTCACTTAATTGTGAAAGCTAATGAGGAAAATAAACTGACAAACAAAATATCAGAGACATGGAAGTAGGGAAAAGACTGACATACCTCAGAGGGAAAGGAGGTGGGGAAGAGACATGCATATATACATGACCAATGGACACAGACAATATTATCATGAAGGTGGTAGGGAAGGAGAGTTGGGCAGAGGGGTCAGTATGAAAAAAATAAGAAACATCTGCAATACTTTCAACAATATATTTAAAAAAATTAAAAATAAGATAAATTCAGTACATATTACACCTTTCTTTTTACTAAATTTTTTTCTTTATTGACTTTAGAGAGAGAGGGAGAGGGAGAGGGAGAGAGAGATAGAAACATCGATGAGACAGAACATTGATTGGCCGCTTCCTGCATGCCTCCCACTAAAGATCTGGCCCACGACCTGGGCATGTGCCCTGACCGGGAATCGAACTGGCAACCTCCTGGTGTATGGGTCAACACTCAACCACTGAGCCATACCAGTCGGGCCACATTACCTTTTATGTGAATATCACTTCATCTAGAGATATGAATATAAATCAAAACCTTCATGAAGGAAGACATGGGCACTTATTTGGCTACATGAAATACTACCCTATATAGGGGAAATGCTTATTGAATACATAACCATTTTAAACAAGTAAAATTATATCCATTTTCTTCATAGCACTGATATTCAGTGGAAAAAAAGGACAAAGTTTAAACGTGCAACAGTAAAAAAAAAAAAAAAAAATTAGTGTAGACTCTATAAATGCAATATTTTGCATTCATTAAAAATATCAATTTTGTTCTACTCTATTAGAATCCCAAAACTGTTTTACAGTGATAGATACATGTTATATAAAACAAAAAGTCAGTGCGGTAGAAGTGACTCATTGCCAATGAGCACCTAACCTTCCACCATGCCTCCCTGTGTTGCAGAGGCTGGAAGGCTAAAGTCCATTTTCTAAACTCCCCAGCAGCTAAGGATCTAGTGCAAATTGCATTCTGCACATTTGTATTCAACAGTTTCAGATTTTAATTATGGTTGTAAAACAAATAGCAAATTCTTATGCTATTGGTACTAGCAAGTATAGGTATGGAGATATAGTTTTCTAAGGCATATCTGGGTTCAGTTCCCAGGTGACAATATATAAGGTGGGAACACCTGGAGACAGAGTGCTAGTGTCTAGTGGGCAGAGGCATATGGGAAAAGTCAGGTCCCCACCCTACAGCCCTACCTTCTTCCCTGGGCAGGCCAAATGTATAGTACCATGTTCAGAAAAATCCTTGAGGCTCAGCCTAGGGGCTGCTTTTCAGGTCCTTTAAATGATCTTCTGAGAAACAAATTCTTAGTATTAAGTCCTTTTATATTTAAAATGGATATAGTAGTTCTATCTGCTACAACTGAAACTGAACCAGACCCCGAGATTTTAATCGAATTAAAAAGGAAACAATGATTACCCTCAAAGACTTCTGACCCACTATCCTTCAACTATGGTAAAACCTGTTTATAAGGTAATGAATTTTTTTTCCATCAACATTTATCCCCTCTATATCCTCTTCTACCTCCACTCACTCCTTTCCCCCCATGAGTTCTTTCTTTTTCTTAATCCCTCCACCCCATCGCACAACCCTAACTTGTTTATTTTTGTGAAAATTAGTTCTATTTCCTAATGTCATGACATGTATTCATAAATTGGATTCTGCTTCTACAGCCAGTTTACTGCACAATAAAGCATTCTAAAATCTCAAGCTAATCTCACAGAGAAACACTCCAAATTCTTCATCAAATATATAATAAAATGTTTCAGAAGAGTGAATCTTACTATTAAAGCCCTAATCCAAAATAAAAAATAAAAAATAAATCAGAGATTTCAGTACACTGCTTTTCCCTGGTAGATGTTCCTCAGTTTATACCTATGTATTACATAAATGTTTTCTTGAGCTAGTGCAAAGAAATTTGTAGAAATGCAAAACCAACTTTAAAAAAATATTTAAAATATTCACACAGATGCAACAAATAAACTTTAAGAGACATTAATTTTAATATGTGACAAGTATATTTCCGTATTTCTCAATATATACTACACTCACACACACACACACACAGTGGGCTAACATTGAAAAATGTTCATTGATTCATTCAACAGATGCTTACTGAGCATTTATTCCACAAGTTCAGTAGTGAAAATGTCAAACACAGGTTAAAGCTCATTAGGTAAAAGATTATAGGTGTAATGGAACAAGATGAAAAGGGTTCTGTAGAAATATATGACAACAAGCATTAACAAACAAATTGGAAAAAGTAAACTAAATAGACTAAAATACTTAGGTCATGGACTAAAAGTAGGTCAGAGAGGAAAATCTTATTTTCCAGATTACAGTACACTTCCATTTTGGAAGGAGATAAAATTATAAATGAGTAGTTAGAATAAATGACCATGAAGTCTACTCTCATCCTTTAATCTCCATTGTTATCATTTATTTAATGTATCTCTCATAAGCCAATATGAGTATCTGCTTATATGTGAGTAAAATATCCCTGTAGAAATATGCAAAAAGCTATCAAGGGTGTTTGCCCATGAAGAGAAACAGAGATAGGACAAGGGACAAGTTAGGGACTTTACATTTACATACTTCATATCAAAAAGTTTGCATTTTTAATCATATGAATATATTATCTATTCAAAAATAGATAAATGTACACCATATATAGCACAAATTTATCAGAAAATTCAAGGGTAGTATAAAATAGAAAGTTATCTGACCTTTGAGGTAAAAGTCAATAAGTACATACACAAAGGACTATCATGAAGAAACTAAGAATACACAAAATAGAAGTGGTTACCTTCCTGTCACAGGTTTTAGGGCTACCAGCAGTGTTTTGCTTCAGGAAGCCAGCTGTTGTTGACCAGCGTGTGGGGTTTTTTCGTGAAGGCTCTTCAGAGGAAAAATTACTATCACTGACAGAGTTTGAGAGGCCAATTAAAGCTGGGTCACTGCTTCGCCGGACATGAAGAGGCATATCTACAAATACAAAACAGCATTTTGGTTTTTTTTTTAAAGATAACTAATATCAGAAAACTACGTTAGGATAAAAGTAGTTAAATCCCTAGATCAGCTTTCTAAACAGAAATTCCATTAGTTCCTTTAAAACAATTTATGGCAAAAGAAATGTGATATGTAAGGGATGACCTGCTCTGAAGTAAGACCACCTAGGCTTGAATTTGTGCTTCACCATTTGTTACCTGTGTATTCTGGGCAAGTTGCCTAACTAGCCTCTGTCTCTAGTACATTTGTAGGCAAATGGCAATAAAATAGTACTCCTTTCTGTGATGACTAAATGAGATAAAATGCTTAAAACAGTGCCAGACACAGTGTGCACTTAACAGAGAGTAATAATAACCATTACTGCATTATTATCCTAATATTTCTAAATAAAATATATATTCTAAAAATTAAAAATAAATAATAATTCTAAGCCATGAAACAAATTACATCAAATTTTTAATCATATCTGCTGGATTAAAAATACAGAATCTAAACAGTGTTTGGTTACTAAAGAATTCTGCTGAATAAATATTTCTTTTGTTCAATAAAGTATTATCAGAAAGTTAATCATATTTCGTGTCCTTAAGATTAAAAACATCTTGAAAGAAACAGGCTAATAAACAAGTAGCTTCTAGTATATATGGACATAAAAGATATGTGTTAATAACTGTAATCATTTAAGAGATGAGTTTGCAATCTCTGTAACAAAACGGGCAAGACATTCAGGCTAACGTTTGTATCAGTAGCACTGAGAACACATTGGCAGAAACAATTACTGTTACAGTGTAGAAGAAACAGAGAGAAAAATAAAAGCATGTGAGTCTGTAACATTGATAATCAAACCCAAAAGCCCCACTCATCAACTGAGAGAAATCACTCAAAAACATGACAAAAAAATTAGATTGAATTACGTTAAATCTGTTTTCAAAAACCAGGATGCAAGTTAAATATTTATAAAAAGGCTCTAACAAAACAGCTTTAACAGTGTACTAAACTCATCATTTACTCTACATTTTTAGAACACTGATGCATTCACTGGTCAATAATGTAATTGCATAAAACCTTAAGGATACTGAACTAAAGACATTTAAGGTTAGATTTAAATCACTGTCAATCCAATAATCTCAAAGATGTTAAAGCAAATTACAAATTATCAGAGAAAATAAAACCATATGAATTGTAATAATATCACATTTAAAATTTGCTTCTACATCATGAATATTTAATAATGATGAAGCCTAAGTGACATTACCACAGGAAAACATGCTGGACATTTAATATTGTTGGTGGTTACCTTATTAGCAGAGAAAAAAAACAAAAACCTGAAACTTATAGAGAAGAATAATTTCCAATATATAAGTATGGATAATCACTCTCACAATAACTTCAGAAAATATACATTTAAGAATCAATACTACAATGTTTTTAATATAAAAATATTTTCTCTAAATTAACAAAATTGTTCACAGATTCACCAAATTCAAAATGTAAGCAGAAAGCAACAAAATGGGGAAGGGGCAGTTATAATACTCTTCTTAGATATGGGTTCTGTTGCTTTATTCATATGGGGCTCTTAATTGTTTAGTTGTTCAAGAACTCTGCACATCTCAATACCTGTGTATGCATGTGTGTGCGTGCGTGCGTGCGTGAGTGTGTGTAAGTCTAAAAGAAGCACTATTAGTTCACAAAAGAACTTTTAAAGATGGTATAGAGCCCAGTCCAGTTTGGCTCAGTGGTTAGAGCCTCAACCCGCAGACCAAAAAGTTCTGGGTTCAGTTCCGGCTAAGGGCATGTATGTTCCTCGCTTGAAGTTTGTTTCCGGCCCAGGTGGGTGGCAGCCACTGGATGTGTCTCTCTCACATCGATGTTTCTCTCTCTCTGTTCCCTCCTACTCTATCTGAAGATAAATACAAAAAATGTCCTCAGGTGAGGATTAAAAAAATAAATAAATACATACATACATACATACATACATAAATACAATACAATACAATACAATACAATACAATACAATACAATACAATACAATACAATACAAATGGTATAGAGGCAATGACCAAAAAGGACTACCCACAATAATGAAATAACCACAAAAAAGTGCATTTCAACCCCAAACTGCATTTGATTAGACACAATAAAACAGCTTTCTCTACTTGTTTTTGAAAAATTTCCCAGAAGAAATAAGTTGCATACGTGATTCAGATTAGATTAATAACTAGAACCATCATCTGATGGGACATAATAATTGTATTAATCTATTACTATGAAACAGACAAAAATAATTAGCATTGTACCTTTTTGTATCTGTTACTCTCAACACTGCATACACGCAGGAAAGAAAGGTGAAGGGAGGTTAGGTGGGTCATAGCAGAGGGCCAGGCAGCATTTACTGCACAAATGGCAATGTGCAGGACACCCCTAGAGGTGTGCTATCAGGCACCCCTGCCTGTGAATTCTTGACATAACTTTTTATTTTCATTTTAGTATTATCTATAAAGCAATTCATATAAATATCACCCGGATCTTTCATATGTTCTACCTCATCACCAAGTAGTCCCAAGCAAAATATGACTCATGATTAGATTTGTATCCACTGTCAGATTCAGGAAGGAGTCTAAGATTTGATTAACAGGTTAATGAAAAAAGCAACAACAAAAAAAACAGAATTCAACTTAAAAAGTAAACTATGCAATCTCACCAAAAGAATGCCAAATGGCGTCATAATTATCTTAAAATGAAGGTTTTTCTGCAGTTTGATGCAGAACCAAGTCATAACAGTGCACACAAGCAGCATAACGAGGTCTAAACGGCAAGACTCGAGCCACAGAACCTCAGCTTACATTATGCAGCCTGCAATTCAAAATCAGTAGTAACACATCACTGTTTTTCACACTGATGGTACAAACTTACATTTTTATTGGTTTATAATTTCTTCTTGGTTTTATGACTAAATGAAAATTATAAGGCATTTTCATCTGGTTTATACATGCACATACACTATACACACACACACACATTTAAATAATGTATTAGAACCAATTATTTAACTTGCAGCAATCTAAATTGTTTTGCTTTAATAAGTCCCTACATCAGTCACAATGAAGAAAGATGTAACTCCACAGATAAAAAAGTTGGAGCTCATATAAATCAAGAGAAGCACATGAACAAGTTTTTTGACCAGAACTTCAGACGTCTGGGTCAGTCTACCCAAATTGCAAAATCAATTCTATTATTCAACAGTTCATAGGAATAGAAATTTTATTTCTAGTTACAGCACATGAAAATATGTCTCAACCTGGCCAGTTTGGATCAGTGGTTGGAGTATCGGCCTGCAGACCAGAAAGTCCCAGGTTCACTTCCCACTACACATGCCAAAAAAAAAAAGTCTCAATTTTGAAAAAGGGATGAAATATATTGTTTTCAAAGTAAAATGATAAACACTGAGATATCATACACTGGTTTTAACAAATAGCATTATTTGAATTGGGTGAATTAAAGAAATATTACTTTAGCTATACATACATATTAAAACAACAGGCATTCCAATTTTGGAAATGTTAAAAGAGGATAAATTAGAAAAACAACAATAACTGGTTTAACTGAGAAAGTATAACGTATGTATAAGATAAAAAAAATGCCCCAAAGAAGAAAGGCCTATACCAGGCCTCCTCAAACATTCACCTCAGGATCCATTCACACTCTGAAAATTACTGAAGACCCCAAGAGCTTTTGTTTATATGGGGTATAGCTAAGAATAGTTACCGTATTAGAAATAAAAATACACCCAGGAAAGTAAGACTTGACAGACAGCATGTTTAAAATTAAACCATTACATGTCAATTTAAAGAAAAGAATTATATAAAAATTCTCTTTTACAAAAAGCAAAGTTATTGTGAGTATAGCACTGTTTTACATTTTGCTTAATAGAAGACATCTGGGTTCTCACCTCTGCTTCTGCATTCGATCAACTACAACATGACAAAGTATTTTTAAAAAACTCTACAAATATTTAGCTGGTAGAGGAAATAGTATTATAATTTTGAATATCTTCTTTTGATACCAAAACAAAACCTGACAAATGAATTTCTCAAAGATTAGCTACAATATGGAATGTAATCATTTCATTCTTTGTTACATTACAATCTATTTGTGTTACACTTTAAATGCATTGTAAACCAATGAAAAAATTTGTAACGAGTTATTTGGAATATATTAGTAATTGAGTTATGCCAATTTTCCAAACGCTGATATATTTCTTCATATCAGAAAGTCACATATGTGAACATCACTACCAATTTCATCAGAAAAGTCACTGAGCATTGGAAAATTGTCATGCTCACAGCAGGATATAAGTTTTCCAATATCTAATTTTCACTAGAAAGCTTAACGGTTATCTTTGGCAACAAATACTGTCAGTTGTTTGCCTTGAAGTGACAGGCTCACTTCATTTGTTTTCTAGCTTTTACAGACACCAAAGGCTAAATAACCACATTTTTTTCTGTCCTTCTTTCATATAAAAATGATGTTCCATTACCAAATGGCTACTTCAGATCACAACTCAAGCCATCACATAAAAGTTTTCCTAAAGACACCACTGATCTTCCCATTTTGTTACTCAAAATATTAATCTGTGTTCTCAGGGGTCAGGATTATAAAAAAGTAATCATTCTTGCTACTTCATCAAGGACAGTAGATTAAAATGGCTTATAAAAAAAACAACTGTGCATGTGCTGGGTGAACACACATGGTGGCAGTGCTTTGATATGTGCTAAGGGGCCTGCATTTTACACATCAGTGCTTGGACATCAATGATTAGGATGGCAACCCAGCAAACAACACAAAATGTATCTTAGTAAGTGTATGAAAAAAAGGTTTTCCCTTACTGTCTCCTTTAAACAGTCTTAGTGACTCATAAGGACCCACAGACCACACACGAAGAACACTGGGCCAGACTTGAACCTGGTAAGTTGGCTCAC